CAAGATGAGACGCTAGAGTCTCACTGGCAGGAATGGAATGTCGGTAAGAAGGAAGTCAATAATGCCTAATTTGAAGACTTAGAGAAATCCGAAAATCGCTATCCGATGAACTGCAGTACATTAAGAGTTAAAATTAACAGAACTGTTATTATTACATATGGAAAAATAAATAAAATTTCATCCCCTTCAAAACTATATATCAATTAATACGTGATACATAATCTATTTTGAAAAAACTTATAAACGTTGTCTCCATATTAGTCAAAATTAATTAAATTCTGTTCTTGTATTTTTTTACAAATACACTACATGTCCGCCTATACTTTTGATTTCATTCCAATTTTTATTCTATTCATTCCGTCAACTTACTTTGATATTTTTCTATTAAAAAGCTTTATAAAATGACATTAATATTACCCTTACCTCCCGTATTAAATTTTGTGATTTTCTACCACAAAAAGTCCAAATTTCAGCAGGCAAATTCTTTTAAAATTAAATTTTAATATCAAGTTTCCTAGAAGAATCTAACCCATTTTTGGCAACTGATAATGGTCATCATATTTGAAGCTAGCATTGAAGACAACATAACAGAAAATTCATATTAATACACAAATACATAGTCCCTAAACCTGATATATAAATTTTCATTAAATCCAACAAATAAGAATTTGATTGCACTTCGTTTCAAAAATGGGGAAAAATTGCAATTTATTTAATTACGCTAGTCAGCCGTCGAATCCAACAAAGTCCATTAGTAAGCTGCCAATTTCGCCAATCAGTTCATTCTGTCGCAATTCTCAAGGTCATTTTTGGCAACACAAAGGGGACAAGAGAGGAAAGGAGTGGAGATGAAAGTATAAGAGGGAAAAAAGGACAGGGTATTTCAGTCTTTCTCTTAAAATTTACACAGTTAAAAAATATTAAATATTGACAGAAGATTAAAATAGTTGGGATGAAATCAAAATATAGAGACAAAATAGTGTATTTTTTAAAAAATGCGGAACAAGTAAGTTAATTTTGGACAAAATATGAAAAAAAATATTATATCAATTTTTCCCTTCTTCTTTTTCAGAAAAGATTGACTGATAATCTTCTCCTCAAATTATGATTTTGTTAACTAATTGATTCCATTTTCGTTCAAAATAGCCTCTTTTAAACTGCTTAACATTGATCTCAGAAAAATTATAATATTTGACCGCTTGCATAGGAAAGCTGGTTTTAAGGTGTGAGGAAAAAAAAATTGCTTCCTCATGAATGTACAATCAACATAAATTATGACTTCTCTAAACTTTTTGATATTCATTAAGCCTTATGTTTGGTTATGGTGTAATACAATCATGTAATGAAATCGGGACTACTTACATTAATGATTGATACCATTAATTGGATTATAGCCTTTTTTTCATTCCACTGTAATGTATTCATATATACTACTTTAATTTCATCTCATTCATTTAATCTGATTAATGTATTTCTCAGTTACAATAAATAAAATCGTTATTGCTTCATTACCATCAAGGTACTCAGTAATTAATATCCAAATTACAGCACATCCACTCTAAATTTACAACTCTACCATACTACAACCCGCTATTTCCACCACTACTATCGACCACGATCTGCTTCGGCCTCCAGGTTCACCCACAGTATCGCGCCAACCACCATTGCCACCCTCCTTTACAAGCACTACCCACCACCACCATACTCCACTCTCTCACTAACACCTTCGTGCCGTAAAAAAAAGGTTTTTTTTTTAAACCGCACCCCACCACATTCTGTTTTTCCGACGCAAACCCCCCTCAGCCTCATAAAATTTCCCCAATACCATCACCTCAACCACAGCACCCTCAACCAGCTACCCATCTGCTCTAGCCACTTCCTACCACCACCACCGCTCTTTCACAACACACCTCTCACTATCACTAACTCACATAAAACAGCATTATATTTTTTAGTGGTGTTTAATATTGCCAACATTAATTTAAAAAATTATATTTCATCTTTATAATCTATTATTAGAACATGGAGAATAGACATGAAAAACCATTAAACAATATCAAAATAAATGTCTATGTAATCTTTAACCTTAGATATCCAACTGACGATATATGGAAAGAAAAATATAACCTTTCTAATGCATTCTTATATCTTTTTGATTTTGTTATATTATATTTTTTTTGGTTACTTCTTTTTTAACTTTTATTTCAGTTGCAAATAAATTTCTATAAATGTTACAACGTCTTCTTATAGCTTAAATATATGAATAGAACTGTTGGTTTTAAATTTTCTTTTGCAGTAATTAAAGGTGACTGTGGTAGATGGCTGGATGGTTAATGATGCATGGACCAGTCTCGATTACGAGTGGATCGCAGATCGGTAGTTGTTGGGTGGGTTTGGTGCTGGAGGTGGGGAGGTTACATGTGTTTAGTGTGGAAGTAGGTGATTGTTGATGGTGAGTTGTGATTAGAGTGGCTAGCTCTTTGGTGGTTAGCTAGAAGCTGGAGATGTGGTCGGGTGGTGTTGCTGGTCTGGATCATGTTTAAATATTTTCAAAGCACAACATAAAAAAACAAAGAGGGTGCTTACATTCTCATTAAATTTTACAATTGCAAAGAGGTTTTGATTACATTTCATAAATTTTTACATTGCATTACCAAATATCAGTTTAACTATGGAACTCTTGAAACCATTCCATTACATACCATTTTTTTTATTGAATTGCATTATTTAATTTCATTACATATGCTTTATATCAAATCAAAATCATAGCTCAGATCTTTGGTAATGAAGATCTTTTTCAATCATCTACGTAATGTAAACATTTTTAATTTTCCATTATAAAATATTTTAAATTAGAATTAATATTATATATTTTGTTTTAACAATTTTTTCTTTTCTTTATTCACTCTTCTTCCTAATAAAAATCATTTACTATGTATATTTTTTCACATTAATTTTTTTTAGTTTGGCTTCCCATGCATCTATCAAAGACTCTATTCTCTATGTGATTATTCTCAAATTTCCCTTGACTAATGATAATTCTAGAAATTCTCATATCGTCTACTTCTTCCCCCTACATCCTTCCAACTGTAGTCTTAATATCCTCGCGTCGTCAATTCTACGACCTTTGCAGCGCTCCCATTTATATATTATTCAAGTAATCTCTTTCTTATTAAATTATATTGTAGTTTTAACACTTCTATCTTTATTCCATAAAATTGTATATTGACCAGTACATAAATTATACAGTGAGTGTAAAACAACATGATCTCCAGTCTGCTCTCTTATATATATATATATATATATCTCTTATTATTGTAGAATTAAAGAAGTTATTTTTAAGGATCTTGATAATGAATATATATGTACTGTTCAAAAAAAATAATTTATCTTATCTTGTAAAGTAAATTAATATCGCTTGTTAATTTTTAGAGATCACTCTCTCTCTCTCTCTTCTCTTTCTCTCGATACTTTTAAATTCTTGTCTATTTTTTTTCAGATTAGTAACTTAATTGAGTTATCGACAAAACTGTATAGTTATATTGAATCAATTTTATTCAAACTTACTAATTATATTGAGATGCAAACGATAATTTGACATACACATTGCGAAATCGACCAAATGGCAAAATAAAAATTACACAATACTTCCTACAATATATCAACAATCAACACGAAAACTTAAATTCACCATGCGATTCGCTCATTAAACAACACAACTTTTACTTCGCTCTTTCCAATTCTCGTATATAAATAGCATTCGTCTATACTTGAGTAGTCAACGTCTTAGATTGTATCAATTTGTTTAGTCTTTCACATTCTTGCAATTATTTAAAATTAAGATGGATCTCATAATATTTTGTATTTTTTCGAAATCTACATCTCAATCGGAGTTTTTAAACGCATTCTAACACGACTCCAATACTTAACTCACAATGGTCGCGCTACTACATGTGATCTATAATAACAGTAAAATCCCAGTGTTAAGAAAATTATATATATGCTAAATTAGACAAAAGAAGAATAAAAAAAGATTAAATTGCTAATTCAAACTAGCTATTATAATAACGCAGAAAAATAAACAAATTAAAAAGCTCTAAGAGACGGATAAAAGGAAGCATTAGAGTTAAGCTATTTTACCGTTATATATTATGTAATGCCCAAATGTTCAATGTTCTAAAGGATAATATATGGGGACTAATTGGAGATGGAGGCATGAGAAGATCCATCTTCCATTATGGGTTGAAAGTGATTGTGTGCGAACTAAAAAGTATAGCAGTAGAGAGGTCGCGTTTATTTAGTGAGTGAGGAATCCAAATGTTATAGAGTTTATACTATGTATATTCGTTTTTTTTTTTTTTTTTTTTTAAACGGTAGATATCTCAGGTATTTTTTGCATTTGAACCTTCTAAAAAAAATGCATGTATAGATAAGCAAACATTATCCCCTATGTTATTGCATTTTTAAATATTTAAATATTTCAATACGTTTTTTAATTTTTTTTTTTTTTTTTTTAAAGGTAGATAATAGATTTTTTGCATTTGAACCTTCTAAAAAAAATGATATAGATAAGAAAATTATCATGTTATTGCTTTTAAATATTAAATATTAATAACGTTTTTAAATTAAAAAACATTTAATATCCAATCAAAACATAAAAAATTAAGAAAAAAAATTTAAAAATTTCTACAAAAAGAATAATAGAATATTGAGAGAGTTTTAAACATTGTTTTTGTTTCAAATTTCATATATATTATATACTTTCCTTTTTATTTTAAAAAATAAAAGTTTTAAAATTTTTAAAAGTTTAGTTATGTATGTGTATCTATTTGAAGATTTATCTTTAAAAATATTCAATCAAATCATACAAATATAAAAAAAAATATTAAAATAGAAAAAAAAATTTTTTCTTTTCTTTATATCTCTTAAATAAAATCCTTTACTTTTCGATTAGATAATAAAATCAAATATTTAAAAAATAAATACAAAAAAGATAAATATAAAAAAATTTCAAATGCCTCATTATTACATATATTTATTTTAGAAAAGTTAAAACTTAAACAACTATAATTCTTTGCTTACTTTCACCTTACCTAATTTATTGTCGCTTCTGTTTTGTGCCAAAAATTTACAAATTTAGAAATTTATATTTTACATATTCTTATGTTGCTTTCTTAAATTAATATACCAATATAGAAATGAAAAATACAAAGAAATGGACTATTTATGCAGAACATTTTTTAATTCTCTTATGCTTAGGCTCCACTTCTTCCAGACCAGAAATCTTGCTGCTGCCTCTCTTAATAACAGTACTAGTATCTTCTCTCATTATTGATTCTCCAGAATCTGAACTGATGACACAAAAATTGTTATCAGCAGCATCAAGCAGACTACTTACACTGGTTTCTTCTCCATAGACTAGCTGGACGCCACATTTCCTCATGGCCACAAGCTTCCTCGAATCGTCTGAAGCCGAAAATTCAAATGAAGCTTCATAATATTCATTAAAACAATTTTCACTTATGACTGACCATAAGAAAGTATTATCTGAATAAAGGGCCATGCCTTTCTCATCGCTAGACCAATAATGAGAGATGAAAATGAGATCATCACATTCACCCTTGGTAGCTTTAAAATGGCACTTACAACTAACATTCCTGACTGGCGTGGGAATTTCACAGCTAACAACAACACAAAAAGCAATTCCCATCATCTGATGTCTATTTGAGGACAACAGAAATGTTAATGAAGATCCAAAATCTTTATAGCAGAACCATTCTGGAATTTCACTTCCTGGAATACGAAACTGACTATGATCACGCTGTATGATAAAAATCAAGATTTAGATAATATATACATTGACAGAAAAACAAAGAGAAGATAAGCATGTATGAAGTACCTTGTTGCCGTTGACTTGGTTTGAAGCAGCTGCCATACATAGAAAGCTCCTTTGAGCATCTTCTACTATTTTGTTGGTTTCCTTTTGGGATAATTTGAAGCAATTAGCGAAATCCCAGGACGCAACAGTTCGATCCAATGGACTTTTCATGCATGGCACAGTTTCTAATGATGTGCAGTTACATGCCTTTAGGACATTCAAATGTGGTGGAATCTCTAGAAAATATTTAAGTTTCTGACAGTGGCTTACATTCAACAATTTCAGTTTTGATAGATGTTTGATGCTTGTAGGTACTTTCTCAAAATTGTTCTTGCTCAAATCTAAATCTTCCAATGAGGATAAATCACTCAGGTTCCTAGGGAATTCTGATAGATAACAGTTGCTTAAATCAAGTAGCAGTAGACACGGGAGAGATTTCAAGTTATGGAAATTCTCAAGTTCTGAGCAGCCGGAGAGATGAAGCCTTCTAAGGCATTCCAATTTGCAAATGCTACTTGAGAAAGTTCTAAGCTTTTTACAGTTTGACAGATCTAATGCCAAAAGTCTTGAGAGGGAGCAAATTGATGAGGGTACTTCTTCAATTGCAGTACCACTTAAATCCAAACATTGCACATTTTCAGGGATTTCTGGAAATTTTGAGATATTTAAGCATCCAGAGAGATAAAATTCAGTAAGAGATGTCAAGCTAGTAATGCTGCTTGGAAGTTTTTTTAGCCTTGTGCAGTTTCTCAGGTATAAACTAGCTAGGCTACAAAGAGATCCAATTGACTGGGGGAGTTCTTCTATTGCAGTATCACTTAAACCAAGAAATCGAATGTCTCCTGATAGCTCAGGCGATTTGGTAAGATTTGAGCAACTAGTGAGAACAAGAACTTTGAGAGATTTCAAATTAATCACGTCCCAGAGACAATGCAGACGTTTGCAGTTACTTAGATCCAAGCAGATAAGCTTGTTAAGATATTGAACAGATGGGGATACTTGAACCAAATTTCGGCAAGTTCCAAGCTCCAATCTCTCAAGATTTTGAGCCTTTGAGAGGTCTGGAATTGTAGTCAAATACTTGGAGTAACTTAGATCAATCCTTTTTAAATTCACAAGACACTGTGTCAAGATACAAAAATGGAGCATCAGTAATTTCTAGAAATTTTTGAATTTAAAAATGCAGGAAAAGTAGAAAAATGAACCTATATTCAGGCAGTAAAAATACCTGGACTCCAGTCCAGAGTTGTTCAACATTGCTGCCAACCAAGTAAAGTTCCACAAGGTTTTCAGCATGAAAGCTTGATGGAAGTGATTTTGACGGGTAACCTTCCCAATGGAAGAGTCTTAGCTTATTGGAAAAAGAATGGAGACCTTGATCAGGTAAGTGCACCACACTCATGCTCTTAGAGCCGGCATTATAGAATTTGAGCAATCTAAGATTATACATCTTTACAAAAGCTTCAGAATTCAAATGCATCTCTCTTATTTTAGATGTGTCCAGAAACATGCCTTCAACTATTTCAGTCCCCTGTGCATATAAAATATTTTGTAAGTGAATATTGGCACAAAGGAAGAATATGTGAAAAAAAAATATAAAAGAGAATCATTTTAAGATATCATTACCAGAAAAGTAATAATCTTTTCTATAAGAGAGTAGAGATTGAGCTCCTACCATGTTTTTTGTCAATACTTGGTAAACATCATCAGTAATCCACAACCTACTACGTTTTCCAGGCTCTTCTCTGGATTCTTCTCGTACAATTTCTTGACCCATTTCTTGCAACAATTCATGCATAGACAACTCATTATCTGAAATGGTTATCAGAGCCCGATCCTTAAGAACTGCAAATGCTATGTCTGGGAAGAAGCCACAAGCTTCTAAAATCTCACTCACAAATTCTTTTTTCTTCCCATTGAAAAAACATGCAATATCTAGAAATACATCTTTCTGTGTATCATCATCTAGTCCATCAAAGCTTACCCTTAACACATCATGAATTTTTAAGTCAGGAATCATTGCAAGTTTATGTTGTACACTTTGCCACTCAAGTACACTTTTATCATTGAGAAATGAACCTAAAACCCTAAGTGCCAAAGGAAGTCCTTTAGCATAAGATGTAAACTGTTTGGACAGCTCCAGATACTCTAACTTGGGATTGTTTTGTTTGAACGCATACTGACTTAAGAGCTGAAGGGCTTGATCAGTCTTTAGATAATGAACTTCATATATACTCTGCACTCCATGTGCATCTAGCAAGTGCTTATCACGAGTGGTTATGATGATCCTACTTCCTTGACCAAACCAATTAGGTTCTTTGGCTAAACTTTCCAACTGTTTCCAATCATCCACATCATCAAGAACAAGAAGAACCTTTTTGAGACGGAGCCTTCTCTTGATGAAATTAAAACTGGCATTGAAGGTCCTTCCATTTAAGTTTATTTCATCCATTAAGACTGTGGAAAAAAGTTGCTGTAGTAATGCAGCAGCACCATATTTTTCAAAATTCTTCTTAACATTTGCAAGAAAACAATGAACTTCAAAATGGGTAGACAGCATACCGTAAATGATCTTGGCAATTGTTGTCTTACCTATGCCACCCATACCCCAGATTCCTACCATGAGGACTGCATTTGAATCGAGACATAATTTCTTTTCCATTTCCTTAATATGGCTACCCATTCCAACAAGGTCACTAGTATCACTTGATGATTTATAAACTATTTTGTCTGAAATATCTCTTACAATTTTGTCTATTAAGATTGCTTCCTCCCTGTCATAAGAAGAAAATAATAAAGCACAAGTTAATTAAAACCACAAGTAACAAAAACAATGATTTCAACCAAATCTAATTTGAAATCATGCAAGCTTGAATCCCTAGAATCTATTCATATTATAAATGAAAGGAATCAATGTTAATTAGTAAAATATTATGTGTAAAAGTTAATAACAGTCACCATTCCAAAACTTGAATCAGATTCTATAAAACAACAACAATCAAATCAGAACAAAACTACTAAAATTTCTCTATATAAAAACTTCGAAGAACCCTAAAATATTTTGTTTTCACAAAGCCAATCATTAAAAAGTCACCATATTAACAGAGCATAGAGGATATAGCATCAATTTCAGCAATTTCGTAACCAACAAAATAGAGAGATATTACAAGACCAGGTCACTTTCTTGCTATTAAGAAATAGATAGAGCAAAAAGGAGGAGTAAGATTAAAGGGTTTTCACAAAGAAATTACCATTGAGAAATATCCCAGCCACAAATTGAGGCCACTTTTGTCAAAGCATCTTTCCACCCTTTCACCTTCTCCACGTCCTCCCTGAAATTTTCTTCATGCTTTATAAAAGCTTCTGCAACTCTGCCTGTCTGATTCCTCAAATCACACGGATCCACGTTATAGAAAATGGGTATAACAAATTTTCCCATTCTTCCACAGAAATCCATGACTTTGGCAAGTAAATCCAAGCACCTAACTGAAGAAACATACTTTTCTGAAAGAACAACTATTAAAAATCTCGATTCTTCAAATGCTTCACAAGTTTGTTCTTTTTCAAGTGATCTGCCTTCATCTTTGATTGAGCTTATGCCTTTTAGGCTCAACTCTCTACAAAGGGAAGTAACAAAATTGGTTTGGTTCTGTTCAGTATTTGTAAAGCTCAAGAAAACAGGGTATTTCCAGTCAGAGGTGGAACTGTAAGGAAGTAAAGAAGAGGGAGAGACCACTCGAGCGCTCATGGAAGCCATGGCAATGGCAAGCAGGCCAGTGGTGTTCTTGACTGACCATGAATTCTTCAAAGTTTAATCTTATTAACAAATTACGGATTAAATTAATCTTATTCACTGTGATCACCACTTTCCATGCCAAGAATTAAGACTTTATTATTTTATTTTTCTTTTGGAGCTTTAGCATCTTTTTGGAAGAAAGATTCGAAACGTATCGTTTCGTAACATCTACCGCGGTTAATGTTGACCAAAACCTTGTAATGAACCTTCAGGTCTTCTTCTTCACCAGTTCCTCCTCCTCTGTGCCTCTCTCTCTCTCTCTCTGTCTCTTTTTTCTATTCCGTTAAATCTTGTTTCCTTCTTAATTCAGCATCTCATTCTCTGTTTGATTGCCAAGACACCACAGGAAAATTGAAGGAGATATTCTTTCAATTCTCGTATGAATTCTTTAGTTAAAAAAGAAAAAAATCTGCAAAATCGGAGCTTTTGTTTCAAATATTTTCTGCAAAATCTACTTGTGTTTCACTTCTTTTTCAAGTTTAAACTCTTTCAACTGTTTATCTGTCTGATTTGTCCATTTATCAATCAATATTTCATTTGTTGTTTGGTTTCTAAGAAACCTTAGGCAATTGAATCAAAATTGAAACACTTTTTTTTTGTCTCAATTTAACAATTTTTTCAGTAATGGCTTCTTCTTCTTCTTCTTTTTCTCCTTCTCCTTCTTTCACAGCCACTGAATGGAAATATGATGTGTTTATTAGTTTTAGAGGTAGAGACACTAGAAATAATTTTACAGATTTTCTTTATAAAGAGTTATATCAAAAGGGAATTGAGACTTTCATAGATAATAAACTTGATAGAGGAGAAGAGATAACTCCGGAGCTATTAAAAACAATTGAAGAATCAATGGTAGCTGTAATTGTTTTCTCTCAAAATTATGCAGATTCTCCGTGGTGTTTAGATGAGCTTGTGCACATAATGGAATGCAAGAAGGCTCATGGGCAGATTGCATTGCCAATTTTTTATGGAGTAGATCCTTCCGAGGTGGAAGACCAAACTGGGAATTTTGGGAAAGGATTCGATAGAGCTAAAGAACAAGCAAACGGAGATATGCGGTTGGTGAAGAAGTGGAAAGCTGCTTTGAAGGCAGCTGCTAGTCTATCTGGGTGGGATTCATCTGTTGTTAGGTAAATGTAGCTTTTCTCTTGTGCTCTTAATTGTTTGCAAAGATGTTATATCTGTAGTAATATCACAGAATTGCTGGTTATTTAACACCTTTAGAAAGTGGAGACTAGTGTTTCATTTGCATGATCATGTATGTTTAATGATAAATATAGTTTACTGTTCTCTTTGTTTTACTTTTTATTCTATAGGAAAATGGGAGGAGTGAAAAAAAAAAAAATTTCCTATGGTTTTGGTTGAGTATAATATAGATTGTCTGCCTGTTTTGTACTTGGAATAATCTTATTAACATAATCAATGAGCTGTAGTAATTCATATTTCCTATATTGTTCTCCATTTTGGTTGGTTTTAAAGAGATGATGCATGTTTATATAATTTTGAATTCACAGCCATCTGCATATGTTTGTAGCTATTTTACTGATCTGACAGCAAGCATGATAAATCAACAACAATTGCAACAATGATAATAATAAACAAAGCATATTTGTCTTTGTAATCTTTATTACTGCTTAACGGTGGCAGCCTTTCCACATCTGACAGGTTGAGCAGTGTTGAATATGTTACATTATATACAGAAGAAGAGAGACTTCCCTATCTCTGATAGCAAATATTATAACCTTTGGAGTCAAAAAGCCAAAGAAGTTATGCCATTGATGTTGTATAATTTTAATTTATTAGGCATGAAAGAAGTTATTGTCTATACTATTTTCTCTCTCTATCTCTCTCTTTTTTCATCATTCCAACTCACGAATAGTCATTCATATATGTAGACCCGATGCCAAACTCATCGATGAAGTAGTCAATCACATATTGAAGAAATTGAATCATTCACCATCAAGCGATACTGAGGGACTGATCGGAATAGAATCCTCCTTAGAGCAAGTGGAAAGATTATTAAGCATTGATTTTCCAGATGTTCGTATTATAGGAATTTGGGGCATGGGTGGTATAGGCAAGACCACTGTTGCTGGTGTTATCTTTAATCGCATATCTACTCTATTTGATGGTTGTTGCTTCCTTCCAAATGTTAGGGAAGAATCAGAGAAAATGGGACTTCCTCGTTTACAGGAAGAACTTTTTTCTATGTTGTTAGAGGATGGCAATCTAAACATGCATATGCTCAGCACAGAACCCTCTTTTATTAAAACCAGGCTCCGACGTAAAAAGGTTCTTGTTGTTCTTGATGATGTTAGTAGCTTAAGACAACTAGAACTTTTAGCAGGGATCCATTGGTTTGGTACTGGAAGTAGGATCATTGTGACAACTAGAGAGAGAGGGTTACTAGTTAGCCATGGGGTGGATTTCATATGTGAGATCAAGGATCTAAATGAGGAACATGCACTTGAGCTTTTTAGCCGGTATGCCTTTAGGCAGAAACATCGAACAGAAGAATTTACTAAGCTCTCAATGCGTGCTATTGATTATTGTAAAGGCCTCCCAATAGCACTTAAAGTTTTGGGTTCTTCTCTCTATGGAAGGAGTGAGAGAGAATGGAGTGCTTTACTCGATAGACTAGAAAAACATTTTAACAAGGATATTCAGCAAACCCTTAGAATAAGCTATGATGCACTTGATGAGTTAAACCAGTCTTTATTTCTTGATATTGCATGTTATTTCAGAGGGCATGACAGAAATTATGTAGAAAAAATTCTAACGAGCTTTGGCTTCCATCCTGAAAGTGGATTAAGAGAGCTTACTGATCATTCTCTAATAACTGTGTTTGACAACACTTTGGGAATGCATGATTTGCTACAAGACATGGGTCGAGAGATTGTCCGCCAGCAATCCATCAAGGATCCTGGAAAACGTACCCGGTTGTGGGATCATGATGATGTTATTCAAGTGTTGACTCAAAAATCGGTAAGCGAGGCTGTGCCCATTTCTTTTTTGTAACTGATGCATAACACATAAACATAATGCTGGATCGCTTTTTTATTGCTTAAGAAATTATACGTGTATGTATGCATTTGAGGCATTTTTCCATTCACACATAATTTCATCTTCTGTTCATTAGGGGACAAAACATGTTGAATGCATTGTCATAGACTTGTCTAAAACAGATGAGAGGCATTTCAGTGCTAAGGCCTTCATGAAAATGAAGAATCTAAGATTGATTGATGTCCATGGTGCCTATGGAGACCGCAAGGTGCACCTATCTGGAGACTTCAAGTTTCTATATCATGAATTAAAATGTCTCTCCTGGGAAGGTTACCCACTAAAAGATTTGCCATCAAACTTTAATCCAAGGAAGATTATCATGATCGATATGCCTCGGAGCTCCATTAGACAACTATGGAAAGGAGTGTTGGTATGAAAATTCCTTTCTTTGCATATGCTCTTCTCTTTTGTAATTGTTTATAAAGATTTAGGGAGCTAATTTGCAGCAATAATTTCTTTTTTTGTTGATAAAACAGCACCTCAACAAGTTGCAATTCATAGATCTCAGTCACTCCCAATGCCTAATTGAGACCCCAGACTTCACAGGAGTCCCAAATCTTGAGGTCTTGATTCTGGAAGGTTGTACCAGCCTCTCTGTAGTTCACCAATCCACTGGACTTCTGAAAAAGCTTATTTTGTTGAATTTAAAGGACTGTCATCGCCTTAAGAGCCTCCCAAGAAGCATTGAATTGGAATCTCTCAATGAGCTTCTTCTTTCAGGGTGCTCACAACTTGGAAAGTTTCCAGAGGTTGTGGGCAGTATGAAACACTTAACAATGATTACTCTGGATGGGACTGCCATATCTGAATTACCTCTTTCAATAAAAAATTTGACCGGGCTTGTTTGCTTGAGCTTGAGAAATTGTAAGAACCTTGGGAGTCTTCCAAGCAACATCAATTTTTTGAAGTCTCTGAAAAATCTCGATCTATGTGGCTGTTCAAAGCTTGACAAGTTACCTGAGAGCTTGGGATATCTAAAAGATTTGGAGAAGCTGGATGTAGCTGAAACTGCTGTAAGTGAACCACCATCCTCCATTGCGCTGCTTGAAAATCTGAAAGTATTATCATTTCGTGGAAGTAAACCAATTGTATGGCATTGGCCCTACAAGTTCTTTTCCATATTTAGAAAAGCACACGATTCAGTGGGTTTGTCATTGCCTTCTTTGAAAGGTTTACATTCTCTGACAGAATTGGACCTCAGTGACTGCAACCTTTCAGAGGAAATGATCCCTGGAGATTTTCACTGCCTAACTTCACTTGAAGTATTGAACATAAGCAAAAATAATTTTGTAAATATGCCGGCAAGCATCAGTCGACTTCCTCGGCTGCGATATCTTTATTTGGATGACTGCAAGAATCTTAAAACTATGCAAAAACTTCCACCAACTATACATGAAATTTCTGCAAATAATTGCACCTCATTAGAAGCGATATCTAGTCCAGAAGCAATCACAGATAAATGGAAGTGGCCAATTTTCTATTTTACCAATTGCTTCAGGCTTGCTGTGAATCGAGGTGATGACAGTATGGCATTCAAATTTCTAAGAAGCCATTTGCAGTTTTTGAAAATGAGTCAGCTTCAGGTCCGTCCCTCCCTCTCTTTTCTTACTTCCCTCCTTCTCTTTTGCACTCTGACTCTCTCAACATGGTGATTTTTATGGTGCAGGAAGTCACATACCAGGGCTGTAGATTCGATGTGATTGTTCCTGGAACTGAAATTCCAGACTGGTTCAGCCAACAAAAAATGGGCTCATCAGTTACCATCCAATTAACGGCAAACTGGTACACTGAGAAGTTTAAGGGACTGGCTGTATGCCCTGTTTTTGCATCCTTTGACAATCAAGACTTGCTCACTGGTGGTCAAGCCTCAGACATTGCCATTTATTGCAAGTTGGAAGCCATCGGGTCGTCTGGGACCTCTGTCTTCAAATTTCTGATCTATAGAGTTCCATCGCTTCAGGCAGATCATCTCTGGATGGGGTTTCATTCCCGAATTGGATTTGGTACATCAAGTTTGTTGAACAAATGTCATTCTCTTAGAGTGTCATTCGAACCCTCTGCTCCAGGTGTGCAAGTGAAGAAATGCGGAGTCCGTTTGGTGTATGATCAAAATGAGAACGACTACAATTCTATCACTGCCAAATCCAGCCATTGTAATGAGAATTCAGACATTGTTACTGGTGAGCCAATGATGGTAGATGAAAGTGGCAAGTTGAAGAGAGACCATGAAGGCTATAATGAGGCTAGACCCACTGAAACTGGATGTTCTAGCAGGAGAGAGGAGCCATACCCTAAACGCTTGAAAAAATGCTAGCAAAAACCAGGTTTTCTACGAGCTTCTTTACTTGTACTTGCTTTATTTGCAGTTTGTCATTCAGTGAGGGTTCTAGTTTTTTTCACTTTGTCAGCCCTTCTCTTACCCCATTACAACTTTCTTGATAATATATGTTTATTGAATCCTGTATTTTACACAATAGTTTATATAATGCCTGTGGCTCATAGACTAGCTGTGTTCAATCTTTACTATGTTGTATGTGCATGTCATTTGAGAAAGAATGCGAGCATATACTAATAAAGAAAAACCGAAGAATATATTTAGCTGATCTCCAACAATTTTCACTTTAGCAGGTTAAAATGTCTAAAATACTATATGCATATTATGGGAATTTACAAATTTCCACTGTTAGACTTGCTGAGGGCATTATGGAAAATTTGACCGGCTACAGTTATATGAACTTCGTGATTAAAAAGATTCTTAAACTCTTCCTAATTTAGAATTTATAAATAGGCGGTTAAATAAAACAAATTCTTATTAAAATAAAATTTCATCTAGTTCTGTTTCTTTTATAAAGAGATCAGCGAATAAGGTAGTTCATCTACTTGCTACATCTTCTTATTTTGTGTCTGGTCTGAAGGAGTGGAGTACTGTCTCTCCTTTTATTGTTCAAGCTTTGTTTGATGATTTATGAAATTATTATTTCCTTTCAAAAAAAAAAAAAAATTCTTATTAAAATAATTAGAAAGGAAGCTATTGGAAGTCAAGTCTGATTTGGAACTAGTCGTGATTCTACTTTTACGCGCGGGTATTTATATATTAGTTGATAATTATCAGCATTGGATTTCTTTGATAAGTTTTAATTTGCAATTTTGTATGGAAATTTTTTTATTAATAGCAATAATTAACCTCTATATTTAGTCATTAAATTAATGAATATTTGAATTTTAAAAAATATTGATTTAATTTTTTATATTCATATTCAATATAGTAGAAATGGTTGATTTTTTTTTCTTAACAATTTAGATGGATTATGAATTTAAATTTGAAATAGATATTGTGAATTTAAATTTGATTTTTAAATATAAAACTGTAAAAAATTAAGATGACATAAGTTGGAATCAAAATTAATTATTGATGTATTTATTAAAATTTTATACTGTATATTTATTTGTAAATTGATAAATTATAATTTTAAACTATGCCTAATTATTTTTTCTTTAATTACTCTTTTTTTTTTTTTTTTTTTTTTTGTAAAAATTAAGATGGACATAATGTGGGAATGCAAATTATTATCTGATTGGTACTTTAATTAAACATTTTAACTGACTATATTATTTTGATTAAATTGATAAACTTATAAATTTTACAACTATGCCTAATTAACCTTGATTTCTTTGTCAATAACTTAACTTATTTTTTATTTTTTTTTTTTTCTTTTAAGATACAAAGGCCATCTTCTTTAGTGTTTGGTAAAACATTTTTTTACTTCTCGCATAAACAAATAGCTTTTTTTTTTTTTTTTTTTCTTAAGATACAAGGCAATCTTTAGTGTTTGTAAAACATTTTTTATTCGCATAAACAAATAGCAATGGAAATAGTAGGCAAAAGAGTAAGCTGCCATAAGCCAGCCGAACACACGCGCGCATCCATACAAAATACATATCCACAGCTGGTGCTGTTTGGTCTCACTATTCCAACTTTGTCTCCCAAATAAGTCCAATTGATAATAGCTGATAATATACTTTCAAAGCCACGAACTTGCAGCTTCGCTTGTGTGTATGTGTAGTCAAATTATGTTTGCATTTCAATTAAATATGGGTTTGACAAAATTATTCAATTAATACTATAGTTGTCAATAACTTCAATTAATTGAAAAGATTTCAAAGTATCTACATTCATATATAATAATCAACATCCTAAAATTGATTGATTTCAAAAGTTTTAAGTAATTCTTAAATTAATATAAAAATGCAATATTATTTTACTTTACAAATACATGTTTATTTTTTTAAAAGAACAAATTCATTCATCAAGATCTAAAAATAAAAAGCCTCTTTATTCTACAATAATAACATTTTCCTATCAAATTATCTTAAATTATTTATTGTTGGGCGAATCACATTTTTTTTTTTTACTCATTGTATTAATTTAATGTACTTCAAAAATAATTTATGAATAAACATAAGTGTTAAAACTACAATATAATTTAATAAAAATAATTATTTTCTCGCGGAATTACGACTAGGTATAAGATAACACTGAAAATAGAGTAAGGAATCTACTTTACTATGTTGAATCCTCCGCAACATTTCCCTTATGAAGTAATGGCAGGCTCTCCACATAAGACAGTTTTTCCAACAACTAATCTTCTTTTCTTTGAACAAAATAAATTATATCAATAGCAAATCAAATTTAAACCAAAAAAAAAAAAAAAAAAAAATAAACCCCAAAAAAAAAAAAAAAAAAAAACCCCCAAACCGGTCAAAAAAAAAAAAAAAAAAAAAACCCCAACCGGTCTCCTTTGATAATGAAAGATATCTAGTACAAAAATTGCAGAAATTCATAAGCTTAAATGAAAATAATCAAATATGCACATAAAAGAAAGACAACCTATGTGTTTATAGAAGCCAATAAAACATCACTCATCAAATGACATCATCAATAAAAAAAAAATACATAAATAAATAAATTAAATAATTTGAAGAAGGGCAAGCCGTGAGGTACCAATGTGGTCATCTGTAATACAATGAACTCTCTTTGAATAGCCATCGGTTTTAATGGCATTGACAAAAGAAAATGTCAAGAATATAAATATTGAGATAAGAGATAAAAGGTATTAGGTTATAGGAAATAAAGATGATAATTTTGAATAATTGGGGGATAAAAAAATTCAAAAATTTAAAGGTTAAGTTTTAGTTGGATTAGATTACTAAAAAATTATCGATTATCAGTATTATAAATTAAATATTAAATAGAAAAATTAATTAAGATGCTCAATTAAAATACAGTAAAATAAGATAAAATTTAAAATTTTTTAAAATAAAATAAATAGAATTATGAATACCTCGGACCTTCTATTCATTTCAGTTTTCATGTATATATATTCAATGTTAGTTACTCTTGGAACATTTTAATCTCTTGGGAAATGGCTCCTCTTCCTACTCATCAGAATTGAAGGTTCTGCTGGCCTCGCCGTGTAGTAAACATACCGCACATTTCTTCATTTTTTTTGCATTAGATATTATATACAATGAATTTACTGCACTATGCGCCATCGACAGCAGTTACAACAATTTAAAAGCCAATCAAAGGCAATATAATTCATTACAAAATTAATCAAGGGCAGTACAATTCACTGAGGGAAAGGAATATAAATTGAAATTAAATGTTACATCGTCAACAATCCAACCCAAAATCTTTTAGTCTAGGGCCACATTTTTTCACCTTGCGATTCTGCATCAGGTTTTTCTTATAATCTAAAGAACATAATTCAATTGCGATTCTGCATCAGGTTTTTCTTATAATCTAAAGAACATAATTCAATTGCGATTCTGCATCAGGTTTTTCTTTTCTTATAATCTAAAGAACATAATTCAATTGCGATTCTGCATCAGGTTTTTCTTATAATCTAAAGAACATAATTCAATTGCGATTCTGCATCAGGTTTTTCTTATAATCTAAAGAACATAATTCAAAAGAGACGTTACCTAACTAAATCATCTCCATCAATTGCCTTAGCTTAGATCATGGATCATCCCATATAAACAAATGAACATACTCTTTCGTATGAATCAAGTTTAAACGACGTGCTAAGGATCTCATGTTATGTAGATGATTTACTAGTAGAAGGCAACAATTGCATCATATAAATTGGAGAACTTTAGTGGAGAATTGCAGTTTGTCAGTTCGACAGCACCGAATTATGCCTTAACTGTCACCCCTAATTATTTTATTTTGGAGTCCATTGGGCTGAGCTACGTCGGCCCAAATCTCAGAGTCCATCGCCGAGGCCCAAGTGCCTCCCTCTGCGTCTGTGAAAACTTTTTCCCTCCAAAATTTACCCTCTTCTTCATATCAATCAAATTTATTTCCTTCTTTCTTCTGATCTCCGAACGACTATCTTCAAATTTCGCTAAAAGATCTCAATCTCTACTCTCTTTTTCTGTGATATAATTGTGTAATTAGGGATTCTAAGCATTAGAAGTCGAAGATGGAGGAGTACTTGCAGTACATGAAGACTCTGCGTTCTCAAATGAACGGTACCTCTCCCTCTATCTACAAGTATATCTAAATCAAGTATAAAACCTAGCCAAGATAGCGTCGAATTGTAGTAGTTAATGGTGATACTAACAGAACGGAATGAGTTTTTTGCAGATGTGGAAGATCAGGCGGCCAAGATATCAGTGGAAGAGCACACGCAGATCGCCACAATTCAGACAATGGAGACTGACCTAAAATCTGGTTCGTTAATTTTATTGTTATGAATTTGTTTTAAATATCAAGGCATAAAAATATGCACTATTAATTATTCCTTTGGAAAATTTTGGTAACTCATAGAAGGTTTCAGTGTGTTGCATTCAATTTCTGATCATGTATTTGTTTGTTTGTTTTAATTCAAATTAGCAGAATAAAGATAAAAGGATTACTCTATTGGAAGCATGCATTGCTTTGAAGTTTTCAATGTGTAGATTTTCAATGGTAAGGTAGATAAGTAAATAGATAGCTGTGGATGAAAATTTGGTTGAGGATGAGTTGAAAATATTATTTCAAGTACAATCTGTAGATTTGGTTGAAATCTTTATTTATTTATTTTTTAAATTTCGTTTACCCCTCATTTACTGGTCCAACACTTTTGGTGTCAAACTGTCTTAATGCAACCTCATATTTATAATTGGTATTTTCTTATTTAATATTATATATATTTACACATATTATTAGGATATATATCTGCATAACTTCATTTTAGGATATAATATATAACTTTAATAAAAATAATCATGTCGTGCCATAATATTATACTATAATAAATATACTCTCATTGAAATGTTATTATGGAATATTTAAACTTTCTCGAAAGTTCCTTAGATGCCTTTGAATTGGTTGCTAAAAATCAGATTGAACCCTCAATTAAATTCTGTGTCGAGTTAACATACATCTCCTGGATAATGTTTTTAATTTGAGAAAGGAAAGAATTTGAACTTTGGTATATTTCTTATGCGGAAAAACGTGAATATCAAAGTTAGCAGGGCAGGTAATATGATGTCTAAGAACCATAGCTAGAGATTCCGTATCCATATGAACTCTTACGTAATGGTATAATAGTCTGGATCCGACGATTTGCTTTTTAAATTCGTACTAGATATTTTCAAGTGTTAAATCTCGGTCATTGCCATAAACATATGAGGGTACTCTTTTACTATCCAATCACCAGGGGTGTGGGTCAAATAACCTTCACGGTGCTGTGCGTTGCATGTCAAAGCAGACTTGGTGTATCGCTTGTGTAATTGACTCCAGTATCTTTTGTGATTGAATTAACATTAAATGAGGTGGGAATAAAATGCTTTCACACTCGAAGCTTCAAAGAAATGTCAGACAGCCAGTACCGAGGTTGATGTTCTCATTTAATTGTAATTTGTTTTTTGCGAGGTGATGGGTTAGTGACAATTTGTTTTTGCCAAGGTCTTAAGTGGTGGGATTTAATGAACATCTTACACCAATAAGTGGCCCTACTTGAACAGCATGGACTATAAGATTTTCAATGCAGTCAATGAAAAGGAGAAATCTTCAAAGAGTGCGGTTATGTAGACCATTCTTTGAATACTCGAAATGCGATAATCTGCTGATGTTATTAAGGCAAGTTTTTTTAGTCCGTTTCAGGTGCACATAATAGGCTCAGAATCAAGTCACTGTCTATAATTCTGATTTTTGACTGTTTCTAATGATAAGTTCGTCTGATTTGGATAAATATGTTTTTCCCACCGGTAATTATTTTTCCTGGTGGTCATGTCGTGTGCAGACACATAGCATATACTATCTCGACCACTATGAAGAAAACTTAAAAGACAGCAATATGAGATCAGAGATGATACAGGCAAAAGGAACAGATATGCCTTCTGGCTGCTTAGATACTTAGGGAGACCAAGAGTAACGAAAAGATTGCCTTCTGCATCTAAATATTTGGGGAGATCTTGATATATAATGCCACCTATGTTTGCAACGCATCTCTCACGCCCATTCCTTTTTTGAGTGGAGGACGACCTAGCGGGTGGATGAAGACTTGTTATGACTGTATATGTTTTAGGCCACTTGATATCCCCAATTAGTTGAAGGTGATATGATAAATTAAGCGAGAATTTTGGAACAAACCATATATCAAAAATGCCACAAGCAATATCCACACCTGAGAGTACTAAGGTCGAAAAACTTGCCTTGGAAGATAAAATATTATGTGGATATTTATTCGATGGAGTAACGAAAGGGAGTCCCTGCTGTAGGGAAAGGCTGTTGAAAAAACTGTGTCAAATACCAATTTGAGGCCTAAGAGTATCTTAAAGATTGCTGATAAAATTTATAAACCGCTTGAGGAGATTTGAATTCTATCAGGAGATTGCGCACATGAGAGGATATTGATGTGAGCCCTGATAAGTACTTCTTGGTCGATAGGGAAAATGAAATAGGTTGGTCAACTCCGACAAAGGATTGGTTAGCCTTGAATTTGTTGAAGAAAAGCAAGATTAACATGAAACTGTGCGCCAATCTTCTTCCTGTGCGCGACATCTTTCAATCTAGAAAAACTCGAATAGAGGGCTGCCGTCAATCCAAACTTAGTGAAATAATCAACAACAGTGACCAGATGAATTGAATGAAACCATTGGAAGCCTTTGGGTGGATTTTTCACGATCACCGTCTAGCCCCACAGTTGCGAAAGGCAGGGTGAAGCAATGGGATTCAAATTGACCGAGGCTGTCCTTTGCAGTTAGCAAAAATTTGAACACTCACTAGGCATGGTGCATCACATGATCCGTCGTAGAACATTTACTATGGTTAGCGTCACGAACAAATATTGTTCTGTGCAGGCCTCAATCAATGAGTATTGCCAGAGTTCTGTTATAGAGACATGTTTAAATCTGCTAGAATTTTAATACCCCATCCCAGGGGTTCACGGCTTAGTTGGGATGGTTTTGCCGGGAGTACAGCTCAAAAGAAATAATTGCATTAATGAACTCGATTGTTTCGCGTGTGCAACATAGAAAATGAATTGTTGGGTTGTCGAAGACCTTGCGATCAGCCATGACAGGTAGCCTTCACTGCTAACCAGCTTTTTGTTCCCCTTATTCCTTAAAATTTGTTTAAGAGGCGACATTGACCGATTGTTGCAGACACTATGGTTTTTGAAGACCTTACTTTCCAAGCCTCCAAGAAGAATTCATCAAGTTCTTATTCTGCCTTAAACTCGTAGAGCACAGCAGTTATTAAAAAAGTCCAGGGGATCTACAATGGTTGAAAGCTGCGAATCTCCGTAAATGTGATTAATACTTTCCTGAAGCCCAATGCTGTACTTTTACCTTTTTAATAACACAAGTGCATACTATCACAGAACTCTGCACGGTTGCCAAAAATGATATTAATCCAAACTACAGCAACAGCAGGTTTAATTCCAGTGTTTCCCTTCTGCGAGTATATAAAGGAAAAATTAAAGGCTGTCTTTCCTAAGGCAATTACTAACGCTAGACTGTCCCCTCATATGCACACGCGTTTGGTGGAGTTTCCCAATTTTTTTTCTTTGGGCATGGGACTGGATCAAAAATTCTAAACCATAAGACAATCAATAGAGTATACATTGGGAGAAGCAAACAGGTTTTGGGAAAGTCCTCCGGGTAGGTCTTCAAATTTATTTGCTGCATATATATCTTTTCAATATCCTTTTTTCACTTTGGTAATAAGCAAAATTTAATAAATTCTTGCCTACAACAAGACATGCAGACCAATAACCGAAAGGGCCTGGCCCACCTTCTGATTCAGTCCAGATATATCCATAATTGTGAAAGCCATGATTCTAAAGACTCCAGCAGCATCCATCACCAAATTCCACATGATATGTCCTTATAAGACATGTGCTGAATTAATACGAAGTGTGTGGGAATAATAGGGTCAAGCGCAAAAAATCAATTGAGCAGAACTTGATCACTAAGTCGTCAAGAATAACTGGCATCCAGTGGATTTGTAAGGGTCGGCCCAATGACTCTGGTCTCCCCGCTATCTCACAAAAGATATTAACTCAAAGATCATGGATTAATGGAGGCCAAACGTGACGTCCCGCCTACTAGGATGACAGACTGCGAGTACTAGCAGAACCCACTGATTTTTTTAATGGTGCCTTCGTCGGCCGACACAGGGTAGTGGACATAAGATTGAAAATGAAATAGAATCCTCCATTCCCAAAAATCTTATGTTCAGCTGGGACAAATTATGCCCCTAATTTTTGAAGCTGCCAACTTCAACTTGGGAGCTTCAAAACAAACCAAGAAAAAATTGCCTCGGCAATAAATCCAAAAAAAAACAAACGCACCCAACCCAGCCACGCTTGTTTATGAATGTGCTTAAGGAACCAAGCTGCAAACTAAGCACTTTCTCTGTCTTTTGGGTGATCCCTAACATCTTCTAGTTTGGTTGCTAACGTTTTCTTGTGATGTTGTAATGTAATTACACTTAATTTTTCCATTTTTCTCAAACCTAGGAGGAGTAACTGGGAGACTTAAGTGTTTAAATTTGGCACTGGATGATAAATTCGGGTTCTTTCTTTGCACCTCGCACAGAAACTCTAAATGGCCATTATTACTTTTGAGTCGACAGATTGTAAAATAGCTTTTCACCCGTCTTTTATCACCCACATATGAACTTGGTGAGGCGCTCAAGGACTTCCAACAATCATTAAACATTTTGGGATTGGGAATCTATCCATTTAGCAAGCCACATTGGAGATACACATATATATAATGTAATGTATTATGGATTTTCTCAACTTAATTCTTGTTTGAAATGAACTCCATACGGAGTAACATTTCTGGATAATGTTTTAATTTGAGAAGGAAGAATTTGAACATTGGTATGTTTTTTATGGGAAGTGAATATCAAAGTTAGCAAGGGGCAGTAATATGCAAAAGCTAGCTTGAGTCTCCAATGAAACCTAGTAAGGAATATATGATGCGTTTTATTTAATATTTCAAGTGTTTAAATCTCGGTCATTGCATAAACAATAGGTATCTTTATATCAATCACAGAGGTGTGTTCAACCTTCCAGGTGTGTGCGTGCATGTCAAAAATTGGTTGCTTGTGTAATTGCTCAGTTTGTGATTGAAATTAACATTAATGAGGTGGAATAAAATGCTTGACACCTGAACTTAAGAAATTAAGACAGCCAGTACCTTGATGTTTCTTTATGTAATTTGTTTTTGAGGTGATGGGTTAGTGACAATTTGTTTTGCAAGTTTAAGGTGGGATTATGAACATCTTACCAGATATGTGGCTCTAGACAGCAAAAATGGATAAAAGTTTCATGCAGTCAATGAAAGTCTTCAATCGTAGTAGAATTTCTTTGAATACTGAAAATGTAATCTGCTGAATGTTCATTAAGGCAGTTTTTTAGTCGTTTCAGGCATAATACTTAGAATCAAGTTCTTCAATTTGACTTTTCTATGATATGTGTTTGATAATGTTCCACGGTATTTTTCTTTGCTTTTGCAGCAACATCTGAAGTGAAGAAACTTAAAGAAGATACTGATCAGATGATACAGGCAAAAGGACAGATATGCTCACAGATATTGGAAAAACAGAGAAAGATTGCTTCTTTGGAGTCTGATTCATACACCCTTGCCCAGGTAATCTAATGTTACCTTGAAGCTAAATTAAGGAAGTGATATGAAATAGAAGATGTGAAACCTAATATCAAATGCACAAATTATCACACTGTAAGGTCCAACTTGCTGGAGTAATATTATTTATTTATTGATGGAGTACGAGGGATGTCTGCTGTAGGGAAGGCTGTTGAAACTGTGTCAAATACATATGAGGCTAGAGTTCTAAAATTGCTGATAAATATAGCCGCTTGAAGGTATCTATAGGTTGCGCATGAGAGGATATTATGTACCTGATAATACTCTTTTTGGTCGAGGAAATGAATAAGTTGGTCACTCCTTGATTTGTTGAGAAACAGTTAACATCCCTGTGCTTCAACTTCATTCTTGATGTTGCAAAAATACTAGAAAACATTTAACTAAAATGGTGTAGAAAATTTGTTTGGGCAATGAGGTTGCAATCTTTTATGAGAATGTTTATCTGTAAATTTACTGGGCCCTTAAGTTGGAGGTAGGGTACAGTTGAAAGAATATTGTATACATGACGATTGTTGGTCAAGAAATGATTGTTGGTCACACCTTGATTTGCCATGAAACAAGTGCTTGTTACCTTTGTTCCTTATTCTTATTTTAGCCCCTGACGTTGTGCAGACACTGGAACTTATTCAACAAGAAAGAGTCAGTTTATCTGCTAAACTCGTAGAGAAGAGGTATTAAAAGCACGAATTACAATGGTTGAACTGCAATCTGTATGTGATAATACTTTCTGAACTATGCTGTGTTTACTACCACAGTGCATACTATATCAAGGTTGCAAATGATATTAATGCCAAACTACAGCAACAGCAGGTTTAATTCCCAGTGTTCCCTTTGTATAAATTAAGGTGTTTCTAGCATTCTAAGCCTCAAGTTGGGGTCCAATTTTTTTCTTTGGGCAGGACTGGATCAATTCTAACAGCATCAATAGAGAAATGGGAGAGCAAACATTGGTAATTTATTTGTCATATGCTTTTCATTTCTTTTTCTTATAAGCAATTATAATTTGCTACAAAGAATGCACAAAGAAGGCCCTGCCCACCTATGCAAGATATATCATATTTGTGAAAGACCATGACATTCTAAAGATCCCCAGCATAGCATCCATCACATCTTAAAAATTAAAGAGGTGTGATTATAGGGTCAAACAAAATCAATTGCAGATTGAACTAGTCTGTCAGATAACTGGCATCCAGTGATTGTAGTGCCTCAAGAATCTCAAGATCTGATTATTCTGCTCTACTGGAACAGACTGTGATGCATAGTCTTCCAGGCTAATTGAATAAGCCTATTTCCAAATCTTAATTTCAGCTGACAAATCCCTAATAACCTGCAACTTCACTTGGTGAGCTTCAAACAAAGAAAAGCTGCAAAAATCAAAACAAATGCCCCCACTTTGAATTCTTAGCTGCAAAATGAAATTTCTCTGTTTGGGTGATCCTACATCTTCTCAGTTTGTTGCTACGTTTTTCTTGTGATGTTGTAATGTAGTTACAACTGGGATATGCTTTGACTGGATAGATAATGGGTTTCTTCTTGTCAAGTTATGGCCATTACTTTTTTCAGATGAGCTTAACAGTCATACCACATATGACTTTTAGCAGATTCAAAATAAAAATTTTGGATTGGAATTATACAGGTCAAGGATAATGTTGATGAGGAAGCGACTGAAACTGGAGGTATGGCTCTTTGCAAACAGTCATACCATACATAAAGCATGGTGCCCTGTGAATCATGTCTGATATATTCTGCCACCTCTATGCTAACTATGTAGGTCTAGAAAGAAGTATCAGACCAATACGAATTCAACATTTTATATCTTGTGTATTAATTACAAGAAATTCCAAAAACATCGAAGTTTGTGATATGGATTTTCAGCCTGTAGAACCAAAGTTGAAGAACATTGTGCGACTCGCCTCTCCATGAGCTATTTTAGAAAGAACTAATGACCCAGAAAAAAAAGAAGATTTTAGCTCATGTTAATTTTAGGCAAAAATTTCAATTAAATCTTCAATTACAGGACCTTCATTCAGTTATAGCTGAAGTAGCCTTTATTCAGTTGTACCTGAAGTTTATTCAAATTAATTTTTTCTTATTTTTTCTAGTAGATTATCCACTAATTCCTGTTCTCATAGGTTGAAAATTATGACTGTACTTTTTAAATGAAATTCATCTTATTTTACAGTGTCATAAATCAAATATAGGCTTTTCTTCTTTTTCTAAACCATGCAGGTATGAACCACTAGATAGAATTTATTTTATATCAAAAAAAATAATAAAGACCCCGTAATGTTAAGTTATCTATAAATAATCAAGTTTAAGGTTTCAAACAAATAGCTTTAGAGTTTAGACTAGCAATTAAATAAGAGATGGCCTTAATTGACAGAAAGATCCTCCATTGAAAGTCCTGGAGAAATCATTATAAGAGCTAAAGTTTTCGTTATAAAGTTATTAAGTTTTTTAAAAGTTAAAAGAGTTCTTCATGGCATGGGCCTCATGGAAGATCAATGCTTCAGGTTGTATATGTTTAGCGTTAGCCAGCAAGATATTCTGTTTGATGGTTTGCAGTCAGGAGATCTTTGTAACTTGATGAGAATTTGAGAAAGTTTAAGCTTTGAGAAAGCCTTAAAATATTGTTGACGGATATCACTGATTTACCCTCATGCTTGGTCCCTGAATGTGGACCTGAAGCTCTACAATCCGCATCCACATGTGACTTTGTTTTATCTCAAAGGCCTTAAGGATTTGATTACTTGGGCCTTTCTATATTGGTGCCAACTAATGATACGAGAGATGAAAAGAGGGGGAAAAAAGGCAAGAAGCAAATAGGAAAATTTCAATTCTACAAACTTTTATCTTTGTATATATTAATGTAACATGATGTCCCCAGAATACTCTTTCAGGAGTATTATTATCTCAGTACACAACTTATGTTCAAATTGACGTCTATTTTTTCTGCTTATAGCTTAAAGTGGAATATTATCACTTATGATATTTCGCAGGGAAATCTGTCATTGATAACCACCTTATGCTGGACAATTTGGTAAACAAGCTCCTTACAATAAACAAATCTATTCATATGTAAGGAGTTGCAATCTTTTAAGCAATCCTTGGAATGATAGGGTGATGATACAAGGAAGAACCTAATGGCCAAGCTGGACTCTGCCAAAGCTAAGCTTGAAGAAGCTGTGCAGATGAAATCTAAACTTGTCAAAGAGAATAGCATGGTTGGTTTAACTGTGACTTCTAATGCACTGATCATATCATAAATGTAGTATGCCCCTATTTGATCATATTTATATACCAATTTTGTATCTTTGCATATACTGTGCAGATAGATTGTACTTCCTAAAATAAGATGTCTGTTTAATTGCATTGGTTTATTTGCCTTTTTTTAGCACATTCTTTTCGAAAATTTTTTAACTGCTTAGACTGAATTAATCTTTTACTTAATTGAAACCTTCATTTTATCTTTTACTTAGTTCTAATTTACATGATTTATGCCCATTCTAGTTATGTTTAATCAAAGTGAATGCTTGTTTAGTTTTAGGTACCTAACTCTGTCCACCATTAAACCCAAGAGAAATAAATAAGATTGCTTCTTTAGGACTTAACTGTGTCTTTAAGTTGTTCTCTCTTTATAGCTTTTGTTGCCTTGTTGCCAATGAATTCTTCAAAGTTTATTTTGTTTTCTATCCGGTGTGAAAAAGAAATTGTTGTACACAACTATTGGCTAAGTAATGTAATATCTCATCTAGCCTAGTTTGTGACGTCTACAATTCTCTTTTTTCTCATACCATGCCAGTAAGATGCCTTTTCCGCTTGTGCATCTGTTGTATGATTGATGGATCTTAGTTGTGTCATTCCAGGTGAAGCAGTCTATTGACCAAGTGAGGAGCAAGGAAAAAGAATTTAAGGTTAGTTGTTTACTCGGTGTGTCTGTGTTTGTGCGAAAATACATGATAATGTGTTTGTTTAATTAATTGGATCACAGATTATTCTCTCCTGAAATCAAACTAATCAATAGGTTAACAGTTCTTGATAACAACTACTTTATATGTTCTCTACAATTATATAATTGTCTACTATCTTTACCACCCTGAAAAGGGAGTTATAAGATCATTCATAAATAAGGTTTCTTTTTTATCTGAAGCAGATGAGTAGTGGCTATTAGTTCTATGATTACATATCTTCTTGTATGTGATTCTCAGTGGTAATTGCTCCATAAATGTTTGAATGACTGTAGCCTGAGCTTCTAGTGATGGACATTATGACTCTTGAAGAGGAATACAAAGCCCTTTTATCTGATAAAGATGGAGAATTTGAATATTTGCAATCTCTGCAAGGCCAGATTGGGAAACTCAAGGTAAACACTGCTTTCATCCTTCTTTTTTTTCTGTTTCTACAGAAAATAGGTGTCTAAGGACCAAACATTCACTCTGAAATTCTCATGAAAAATATGATTTAAGCTAGGTTTTAAGTTGGGGTGTGGAAAGACCAATCTGTGGATTGGTACTAGTCGAATGCATCCGCAAGGAATGATGTTAAACTCATGCTCAGAAAATTCTTGATCTGAATTATGGGATAACTGAAAGTTGAGAGAACAGTTTTAGTTTAAATTTTCTTAGAGGTTTTCTGGAAATTTCTGGTGCTCAAAATTTCCTGTACAAATACTGAAGGCCTCTTTTATCATGCAGGGCATTTCTCATATGATTAAATGTGCATGTGGAACAGAATACAAGGTGGCAATGGAGTTTTGTGCATGATATGAACCATGGAAATTTGCTGTGTTCGCTAAGGAAAGCAGTTGGTAGACTAGAATAGTGACTGTCTATGCAGGTAATTTGGCATCATGACAAGAATATTGGTTCTTAAAACTAGTACTGCAGCTTTAATATGACTGTATGATCGTAGTTGGTGACATATTCAATATATTCAACAAATCATAGCATCTTTTTAGGAAAACCTGTATATGCATAGCTTATTTAGAGAATACAGTTATATGACACTGCCTTGATATATAGTTGACAGCATTGACTTCACTGTACCTGCTGGAAGTAAATACATTGATTCTCCCAAAATTTCCATTAATATAATGTTGTTATTCATTGTTTCATTAAGTTAAAATTGCCATTATCATTGCTTGCCTCATAGTCCCACGATTGTCCATGCGTTCAGCACATACAATGCCCATCTTACACCTACTATTCATTACCTGAAAAATGAAGGAAATTTGAGCTGGTTCCCTTAACATGATTTTTTATTAATGGGACTAAACATCATTTTCTATGTTCCAATCATAATTCCCCCCGAAGTTTAAATTTATCATGTACTTGAATTTTAGGTAGAGATGTATATTAGTAACTATACCTTTTGCTTTTGTATTACGTACAAAAGTGTATGCAACAATTAACCATTACAAAAAGAAAACATAAATATATTAAGAAAATGGATTACTTGATCCCTAAAGTCTCTAAAGCAGTTGAGATATCACGAACTTCATAATTTTCCTCCACGAAGGCTAAGTTAGTGCTCTCTTGGGATACTATATCTTCTCTTTTAAAACTTTCTTCACCGCGAAGAAGCTCCTCACTTCCATACTCCACAGAGCCTCTTATAATAATTGTCTTATGGAGGCCGGCCAGTAGTTCTTCATGATCGGTATCCCCTCTTTCTCCAACAAAGACAACTATTTTTGAAAGATCTATTCCCCACCTAACTGAAAGATACCTGAAGAACATGCAAGAATTCAGCGTAATGCTTGATTTTCATTTAAAACCATTTTTTTTCTTTGTACACTTTTATACTCAGTAAAATTGGGTCTAACCTTAGGGCTTGTTTCCTTGATGCAAATAATGGGATCACATTTAACCTTGATGCTGCATGCGTGTAGACTGGGTTGCATCGAAAGCCTCTCATCCGGAGCCTTTGACGGATCTCATCGACCTTTCGAGTCTGATATCAATCATAGGAATATTTACTAGAAATTGTTAGAAAAAATTATGTATTTAAATTACTCGGATTGATAGTTGACATTTTCTATACCCTCACAAGCCTCTTACCTTGGACCCTGGATTGATGATATAAGAATAGCACCTAGAAGCACATGCCTGAACATACTCGACAAGATCATCTTCAGCCCCATCTTCCACCTTAGCTAGCCTAATCGCCATTGTTCTAACATTCTCACCTGGCCACCTGTACTCCACATGGGCTTCATAGTCCAAATCAGCTACCATATCCCTCCATGGATAATACATCTCGCTTCCACTGCTACATATTATTGCATCAAAGTCTTCTATATTCACTGGGCAACATCTTAATGCTTCTAAAGTCTCTTGCAAACATGAGCCAGTCAATAATACAAAACCTATCCTTCCCAAACCCAGGCATAAACCTGCAGCTTTCATCACATTCTTAATAATTTCTTGAAAGGTCTCTGTGCTTTTTCCATTACTGTTGTAGCAATCAGCTGCTATAACAAATAGCATCTGTCTTCTACCAGGACTGTAAGTAGCACTTGTATTACCGTTGGTTGAAGCAGCTTGAGTAATAGCTTCAATAAGTTTCTTCTGTCTAGTTGCTGCATCTAGCTCTCCATTAAGTTTGAGATCTCCTTCTATGGAAAATCTCAAGGATAAGTCTTCCACATCCTTTAGAGATTCACTCATTGGTTCTTCAGGAATTGGTGTGATCTCAAGACGGGTTGTTGGGTCGCGGTTTCTGCAATGTGCAACATGGGAGAGATAGTTACGGCAGTGTTCTGTCCAAGAAAAACGGTGAATATTCTTTAGGCCATTTTTCTGGCATTCTGCCCAGAGGTTTTTGTCAGCAACTAGCTTCAGAAGTGCATCTGCTATTGCTTTTTGATCATGAGGGTCAACAAGAAGGCCATTGTTGAGAGCCTGAAATATCGAGATTATGAGTTGGTAGGTCAATAAGTTTCATATGCATTAAATGGCTATACTTCATAATAGAAGAACAAAAGAACTCCTCCTATTTTTGGTAAGGCATAATGCAATCTAATGGTAATTACATTAAATTATGGCTTACCAAAGATAGCCTAAGGCTATGTTTGGTGAGCTGCAATGGAATATAATGTAATGTAATTGAATTCTTAGAGTAAACATTACACTAGAAATGCCTTTGATTACATTTTCCATTATGTTCCATTATGGTTCATAAAGCATGGCCTAAGCATAGAAATCAAATTTCCAAGGTGAAAATTTAGAGTATATTGTTTGTTACCTTCAAAATGTCCACAGGTCCACCATTTTTGGTAGCAACAATAGGTAAACAATAAGCAGCTGCCTGCAGGATAAGTTTGGAAGTTGAATGTGAGATAATTATTTATGCGCTATTTAGGTGCAGATCTTGTGAGTGTTTTGCTACCAATATTAAATGATTGCATTAGACCAGTTAAGATATGAATATGAGGCCTGGAAATTACCTCTATAAGTGTGAGACCAAATGGTTCCACTAGAGCTGGATTAATGAAGACACCCTTCAAGAGAAAAAAACCACCATAGAAGAACTAATTTTAGCAGTTCAAGTGCTCCGAGAAGAAAGAAAAGGAGTCAAGGTTTGACCAATAATTAGGCAGTTAATTTGGTTGATGAATTATGACTTTGTAGATGCATAGAGTTGTTTATATTTGCAGTCTACCACAGGGTAGAAAAAGAGGTGGGTAAGGAGGAGGATGGAATATTTATTTATTACCTTTGTTTTTGCAGCCAGCCGATAAATATCTGGTACTTCAGATTGCTTGTGGTGCTTGGGATAAGCAACTTGACCGTACAAATCATACTTGTCAATGAGCTTCAGCACAGTTGTAAGAACAACTGAGCTACTGCTATGCATCTCTTCAATATCATCTCTATTACCAAGTATTAGTGCCTACAAGAACAGAGAAGTGACTTCATTGAAACTGCCTGGTATTAGACTGAAATGAAAAAACAAATTTACCAAGTTGGCTAGCTCTCGGAGGCGCTGGCACTCCCCAAAAGCTTTGAGTAATGTGGTAATGTTTTTCTTTGGATCAGGACGAGACAATGCGAGTATCATAGGTTTATGAGGATTTGTGAAAAACCGCATTATCTGCATTTACAAAATTCAGTTAGACAATTATTAAGGAATGTAGTTTATTTCCTATTCCTCTTTATTTTTTAGGTCTTCCATAACCAGTCTCCTTTTGCAATCAATTTTAGGCAGTTAAAAGGGTTTATGTGGGCACTTCAACTTTTGTCGCAACAATTATATCCTAGGTGATATTCAAATGCCCCAAATTTAAGGACAGATGAACGAATATCGAAAATTTCAAGTATGAGAAGAGAATAATGACCTCAGACCATATTGGTGGCAGATTCCTTTTGTTTGGAGTTCTGTCGGAGCCAATTAATGACTTGAGATCACCTTCCAATGAATCTTCTGTTTTTACATAGCTGAACTCCATGCCTGGAGGTATAACCTGATGCCACGGAACAATTAGAATATGAGTCTGAACTTGATTAGATAGAAGCTTCACGTTGATGATAGCGTTCCATATGCTAGGACATTTAGACAAGTAAGCGGGTTATTCTGACTGAAATTGATACTGGTCTTTCTATTTGCTGTTAAGCTTACAGATATAACTTCTACTAGAAACTCAAGTTCTTAGAGTATTTGTCATTCTTGTACTTGTGTTATATGCAGAGTAGAAGCATAGAGAATAAAGGAATAGGAGAATATTCATACCACCATCCTTGGCATGTTTCTTCCAAGGCAACTTACTCCTCGGCGTCTCCTAACCCTAAGCTTTCTCTCCAACTTGAGGTCAAATCCATCATATAATCCCCACTGCTCTTCAATTTCTTGTTTTGTGCTAGTTACCACCATTTCAGCTGCATCCAACCCTAACTCTTCAGCCTCAATCCTCCTCATTATCTTATATGTTGCATTTATGTCTTTCCTTGAAAGTCTCCCTTGCTTAAGCAATTGCTCAAACTTGTTCCTCCCTAGTGAGTGTCCTGTTAGCACCATTGGCACATTCAAAGCTCCAGATAAGTGTGATGCCACCTCTCCGGCATCAGCGTAGTGGCCATGAATCACATATGGCCAAGTTGGCTTCCCTCCATTAACCTCTTCGCCTATAGCTCTAGCCATGTTGACAATATGGCTTAAGGCTCCGTCAACAAATTCAGGTATGTGAGGCCAAAGTGATTCTTTTGGTATGTACCTGGGACACATATGTGGCTGTCAGATCAACAACTTAGCCAAAATCAAACTTGCAACAAAAGAAGAAAGCTTTGACTACTTTTCACGAGGACCACAAGGAATTCTGATTATATAGGCTCCCGAACTTCCGCTGCCGTCTGGTGGGCATGACAGCATCTCAATGGGATCACCATAGCTGAAGTTGACCTCTGGTGAGGTTATTTGTCTTGTCAAGAGATCCACACGATAAACTCCTTTCGTATTGGCTAGAGCTCGAGCAAGTTCAACAACATATTTTACCTGTAATCACAACAATAGCTTCAGTCATGGAAAGTGAAATGTGTAGCTTAGTTTTACTATTAGATTAACATACTGAATTCTGCAGTTCAGCACTTAGCAACTAGTAATGATGTGGTATAGATTACCTGACCCCCAGTATCAGAATCTCTTCCAAGTTCCATATTTTCTCCACGCACCAAACCGTGTATGCTACAGCCAAAATAAAAGTAATGTGAAAAAAATCAACATAACAGTAATTAATATTCATAATCATATGAAATGCAAGCTGCCTCATATATCTTCTTGAGGCATACTTGACTGTCTGGATTGATTAGATTTAGTAGCTCTTTAATGTGTTTGGTTTATAATTTATCTTTTGTATCTTAGAAATAATTTGTTTGCTGAGATGAACATGTAGAAACCTGATGAGCACAATGTATAGTTGTCTAGGTTTTTCATCATAAGACCATATCTTTATATCAGAATTTATTCTGCTGATGTGTTCCACAGGTTCGCCTTTCTCCTTTTCCCCCTCAGAAAGTTCAGAAAGGTCATCTTCAGCATCATCACGCCCTTGCTCTCGTTCTAACTGTCTTCTTGCAAGCCTTTGTGCATCATCCCATGCTATCTGCAAATAAATTTAATTTGTTTGCTATACCAGATTTTCAGATATTGATCACAATTTTGTTCTGACACACTACTTCTTTGGCATCGCATAGTTGAATTTATCATTAGTTTTAGCGTTATAATCAATTTGTATTAGCAGAAGATTAATTTTCAGCAGCAAATGATGCTCTTTTATTCTCTTTATATGGGAAACAGCCAACAGTTTAATATTTTATTAGGGTTGAGCATTTTTCTGTTTAAAATCAAATTATTGAATTCCACTATTCTGGTTGGTTAATTTGATTTGTTATATATATATATATTTGGTTTTCAAAAATATATGTATTTTAGTTAATTTGATTTGTTTCGTTTTTTGAATTTATCAATTCAAATAGTTCATCAAATTGAGACAATATATTATTATTTGATTTCAACCCAAACAGATTATTTGATTTCAGTTCGAATAATTTGGGATTTCTTATTAATTCAATTTATAGGTAGTAGAGGTAACTTCATGGTTTTGATTTTGCAAATTTTTTTACTAAAAACATTCACTCCTAATTACATAATTTCACATTTTATGAGATTGGCATACCATATAATTAAAAATTAATTCAAACAATCAGAATTATGTGATTTTACTTTTATATTTTGACACTCAATGGCTATATTGAAATCAATGAAAAGTTCCACCACTCTAAATGAATAAAAAATAGGGCTGAGCAGAAACCGACTGAATCAAAAAATTTAATCAAATCATTTAGTTTGGTTCGATTTAATTTTTTGGTTTAAGGTTTGATTTTAATTAGAGAATTAAATTTTTTTATGGTTTGGTTTAGTTTTCACTATATAAAACTGAAAAACCTAAGAACCAAATCAAATTAAATCCAAAAATAATGTCCGATTTTCAATTTGACTGATTTGATCCAATTATGAACCCAACCGATGATTTGTACAACCGTGTGACCTTGGTTGCGTGCGTCTTATATATATATATATATATATATATATAAACTGACCTGTTTCTTCTTCCGGGCGAGATGCCAAATTCGCCAGCACATATTCTCAAGCCTATTACTACGTTCACGAGTATTCCTTGTTGCTATCACCTGCCCATAAAAGTACACAAGTTTCAGTCAGTCGCCTCCATTCATCTTTTCCATTTAATACCAACCACCCATAACTAAAAAAGACCTTTTCAGTATGCTACTATTAATTTTCCCTTTCTCTTTTTTCATATTCTTGTTTTCTTTTTTCTATAGTATTAGCTATTCTAGTTGAAAATAAATATATATAACCATATAGACCAATTATATATGATCTAATTCGATTCTTTAGATTATAAGAGTTTTCATTAATTTAATAAATATAAAGGAGAGTTTCCACTATAAAAGTTTTGGGAGGGCAGAACCAAAATGTATTCGATCTTCTAGCAAAGCAAAATGAAGAAAAGAACAGTCACTAAAGGCCCACCAAAAGAATAAATTAATCCTGATGCAAAATCTATCACACAAACTTGGATAAATGCTTTGTAAGCTTTCTAATTACTCATTTTTTATGCTTCACATATTTCATTGCCACACATATTAGTTATAAGCTCTAAAAATTTTCCTTTTCTTTTTCAATTAAAATCTTTTAAGAGCAACTTTTTAATGATCAAAACTAATAACTTGTATTACAAAGCATATTAGGAGTTCTTTGTCCTTTAATTTATGAATTGGGCATGCATGTTGAAACTCACAAAAAGAGAACAACATCACTTACTTGCTTCAAAATGAACCTTAACTCTTCCAATTAAATTTCCAAAAATATATATATAAAAAATTAAAGAAAATGAAAAGAAGAGATAGATAGAGAGATAGAGAGAGCACAGGCTAACCTTGACCCAAGTCCTATGAAGATCGGATTCATCAAAACTATTAACAACTTCTTCCACAAAATATTTAGTGGGATTAAACAATTTGTCTTCTTTCTCTTTGCTCTCTTCAAACTTGGCAATCTTCACCTTCCCATCATTTCTCTTCCTTAAACTACTTCCCACATCTAAAATAGCCTCCAAATACCCATTTATCCAATCATTTCCAGCCATTTCTTGCCCTCGCAAACACCAAGAACAAGAACAAATAACTCTTTAAAGAGAAGTAATCTTTATATATGCATATGAAAGATGCAAAAAGAAATATAAAAGGAGAGGTTAAAGTGTTTGTTATTTTGAAGGGATTGTTTGTTTTTGCACTTTGAAACCGAGTTGGACGTGAACAAGGCAGTCTATTTATGTAGAAGCCTTCGAATAAATTCTTCTTTCCATTTTCTTTTTTATATAATTTTGTTTTTTTAAAAATGATGTAAAATTGATGAATCTTTTAGCAACTTGGATTGGGTGGCGTTGGTTTCTTCCTTTCATATTCTTTTATTGGCATATTACTTAGGACATTTTTATTCTTTCAATATTCTCCACTTGGCACCCTTATGGCCTGTTTACATGTAGAGATCAGTTTTTTTTTTTTTTTCTGATTTTCAAGAAAACAATTTTCTTAAAAAAACAAAAAATAGGAAAGAAATGAAAAATAACTTGTTAATTATTTTAATAAATTGAAAATTATTTATAATTTTTATAATTAAAAAAAATATTATAAGACATAATTTAGAACCTCTTCTATTCTAAATTTTTTAATATGTATTACTTATTTATTTATAATAATATTATCAATTTTTTATCATTTTGTAGTTTTTATGAAAATAAATGTTGTCATTATAAACATATTTTTATAATAATAAAACTAATTGCATAAGTACAATACGAAATCAAAAAAATGTTTATTAAAAATTTACTTTTTAGTATAAAGGAAAACTGAAAAAAAATTTTAATTATTTATATAGTACCAATTTTATTGTTGTTTATTTCTTTTAGGGGATAATAAATTGTTTATTTTTAATTTGTTTAATAACATTTATATATATATTATTTAAATTTTGTTTTTAACTTAAGTTTAAATTATTTATAATTAGTCATTAAAATTTTTACCAATCTATCAACGAGATGTTGGTTGAGGTGATAAGCGACCTCAACCCTTATAAGAGTTAGAATATAAATTTGATTCTCAGAGAGAACATTTTGGGAGTGCAAAAAATCTTTACTTTCTACGAAAAGAAAATTACTAATTTTTTAAGAAAGTATTTAATGCACAGACAAGAGAGTAACATGACACACCACTAGTTAATTGTTTTGTGCTTATATTAGTGCTCAAAATGTAATCCTTAATGAATTAATTTTAATAATTAATTGTCAATTTTACCCTATATTAATTTTTTTTAATTATCTACCATTTGAAATCTACTGGCCCAATTAATTTGAATTCCTGTCGGACAAAACTACAAGAAAAGGTGTATCGCTCCATCTTTATTATTTAAAGGCACTCCGTACAATAATACTAGCATATCAATAGTATGACTATTTATTCAAATTAAATTTTTTATCTACCATTTCATTATAATAAGTAGTTTAACTTCTGTTTATGTCTGGCTCCCATTTATTAGTGCTCAAAAAATGTAATCCTTAATGATGTATTTAAATTTTTTAATAATTAATCCTTGTCGAGGTTTTACATCCCCACGTCTACTCCAATTATATTTCGTTTTTTAATTAATCTACTTCTTTACCATCTTTTGAAAATCACTTCTCCTCTTTTTGGACCATCCCACGATTAAGTCTTCCTCATCTCGAAATTTCACGAATGTCGGACAAAAACTTACTGAAGAAAAAGAGATGAAATAGCATCACGCTCCACCAATAGGCGCTCTTAATTAAATGTGTGTAATACCAGAGGCACTCCGCCTACAATAGGTACATACTAGCATTCTCATTCCTCAATAATAGCGCGAATTTCCTTAGACTCCATCCTGATGAACTATATTAGGTTTCAAATGATACTTACATATTCTTTAGTCCTAAACCAATTTACATATCAGACATTTTGTATAATACTATAATATATATTAGTTACTAGTTCATATAGAATTAGGACTACCCATATATATATAAATCTACTGAATTTAATCCACATTATTTTATTTTTAGAAAACTAATTAGTGCTGAATATTAGCTGGACTAACAAATCAGATTCTCTTAGAGTAACAATAGTTTTCTTATATCCAGAAACAGTTTATTTATGTTCAAAACTGAATATCCAAAGACGAAGGTTGAAAATTTATATTTGCGATTTTGTCATATGAAAAAAATTCACTGTTATAAAAATACACTTAATTTAATATCCATTGTAGTTTGATGAAAAAAAGCTTCGCTGTGCTACTTGAATTAGTAAAACAATCGATTTGGTAGCAACCAAACATTTTATCCTATATATACATTATGTGCTCAATCACTCACTCTCGACACTCCTCACATCCACGCGACGGTGCAGTAAAGAGCTTTCCCATAATAAACTCCACTTTAAATTTCAACAGATATAACCAACTCCTCTTTTAAGGGTGTTTGGCTTGTGCCACTATACTCTAGACAAAATTATCTTAATTTAGATATATTGAATGTTAAATTGTCAGGCGACTACACAAGCATTTTTGGAACACCATTTAAGTTCAAACAATCTAATAAAGTGCTTATATCATCCCAAATTTTTTTATTTGGAAGCGCTCAACAGTAGCGTCAATTGGAAAATGTATTGTTAGTTAAATTGCAATTATATTAGAAGTTGAAGTGGTTCAATAGCATTCAATTATATCTTAGTATATAAAAAAACATTAAGATGAAAATAATTTTCCGTAAAAGGAAGCCAAAATAACAACTCTGATTTGATGATAGCCGGTTATACTCAAAATATGTGATAATTTTGAGATGACAAGTCCAATTAAGTAAGAAAATTTGTGCCAGGTAGGTTGCACTCGATTTCTTTATATGCCCATATAACGAGGGAAGAACCTATCTGTTATATATACTGAATTTATAAATTATTTTATTTAAAAAATAGTTGATATTACTGATCAATTTTGTATGTCATATGAAGTTTATTTTTTCAAACTGACCAAACGAAGAAAATTATGGAATTTTTCATATGAAAAAAATTCTGTTTAATACATAATTTAATCATTGAGTTTGAGAAAAAATTTTGTGCTACCTTGAATTAGAAAATCGATTTGGTGGCACCAAAATTTTTCTTTCTGTAATAATCTGACACCTCATCACACTATAACAATATTTTTTAAGGTGTTTGGCTTTTATACTCAAAATATTAATTTGATATATGGTTAATTAGTACAGCTTTTGGAACACCATTTTTCAACAATCTAATAAGTGCTTAATCATCCAAATTTTTTTATTTGAGGCGTTCAATAGGTCAATTGAAATGTTTAGTAAATGCAATTTTAGAAGTTGAAGTGTTCAATAGATCAAAGTAAAAAAATTGAAGATGAAATAAAATTTTCCGTGAAAAGGAGCCAAGAAAATTTCTGATTTGTAGGGTACTCAAAATATTGAATTCTGATCAATAAGATGAATTTGCAGTGCACTCGTTTAGTTGAGAATATTGTATTACTTCTCTCGCAAGGCTTGCTTTTTCAAATCTAATCAAAATATATATGAAGCCCTTGTATTATAACACAAGTGACAAGAAAAATAGTGTAATATTATTGTAAAAGATGGGGTCTTTTAGTACTTACCTAAAAAGCTTTCACCAAATACATGAATTCACCATCTGAACTTTTTTATTTTAACTTTGTGGCATCTTTAACTTTTATTTTGACGCATCAAATACTTCAACTTATAAAATTACACATATTAAATGCTTTAATTTACAAAATTAGATTAATTGCACACTTGTTAAAAAGTTGAAATTTATAAAAATTATTATTCTAAAAGTTATACTGACTATATATTAAGTCGATATTTTACAGATAAAAGCAAAAAATTTTAAAAATTATTGATATTAGTGCCGAAAGGTATGTGATATTACCAAAATTAACAAGTGCAAAATAGGTCCTTCGTTTTTAGAGTGTCATAAAGTTAAAATTACAAAGTTCGATAGTAAATTTATATATTCAACCTAAAAGCTTTACTTTGTTTATATGTATATGAGTTGCAAAGTGTTGCCATAGCATTGCATGTAGAGACATTGAGCTTTAAATAAATAGTTTGTCTCAGTGCCCATATAAATATATATATTCAAACAAATCTTTCCATTTCCTCTACATAGTTGTCAAGTTGCCAATCTCTCGTGACCACTGCAATCTCTATCATGGCCAATCAAAAGATGTTAAACTTTTTCTTTTGGCCATATTTTTTTAATAAATAAAAAGAGTTTTTCTTTTTTTTTTTTATCTAAATGAAGATATTAATCAATAAAATAATATAAATAATCAGTTTAGAGAAGAGCTAATTAATAAATAAAAGAGGAAAAAAAAGATTTTATTGGTATATTTTGACATAATTAATTAATTTATCTTTGTATGTTAAATATTACACGATAGTTTATTGCCGTTAAAGTAAAATACATCTCCGTCGTCTCCGTACATTTTTTAACATTTTAGTCTTTTAAGTGATTAATCGGCGTCGTATCACTTCAGTAGGAGACTGAACTTTCGGCGGTCGGCGATGACTGATTCGCTGGTGAGGATCGGAGGTGTGGAAGGAGAGTCATTAAAGAGAGCATTGTCGGCTCTTATTCGGCCATGTTCGCATCAACTTCGGCGTTGCGCCGATTTCTTTTCCTAAGTATATCTAATACTCTGATCAATTTTCGAATATCAAGAATCAAGAATTTCTCTGTACATTTTTTTTTTTTTTAAATTTCAATTTGTTAATACACTTTCTCTTAGTAAATTAGTTTGTTAGTATATTATTTTATTTTAATTTTAAATTTAGCTCCGTGGTTTCAATAATCCCTCTCACCTCTCCAATAATCCGTCTTCTCCTCCCATGAACAGTGATCGTGAAATTGGAGTGAATAGAAGATGAAGAAGAAGTAAAGCTTGTACCTTCCAACTGGACTGTATATGCCCACTATAATCATACCTGCAAAAAAAAATCACCGACCGCTTCAAAATCACCATACCCACTGCCCGAATATCGTGATTTTTGCAGTGGCTTTTTGTTTAAATCGGTGCGTTGACTCAGCTGCTTACACAGAATTTTTCTTTTGCATAGCGTGATTTCATAGATCTGAAATATATCTAAGGTTATTTTTGTCTTTCCATAATCACTTAACAGATAAAATGTTAAAAAATAGACAGAGGTGTATTTTAATTTAACGGTAACAAAATACTGAGATAAAAT